TTTTAGCGTAAAGTAATGAAACAGCTATGCTAGAATAAAGGATTCCTTCTTGTCGTCGTGGGAGATAAGGCCAGAATGGCATACTGAAGCCATATTATAAAAGTTTTTGATGGAGGCTAAGAAATTTATATTTTATCCTATAAGCACAAGAGTTTCATGGTAAGTTTTTGAGAAAGCAAGTGGTTTGATAAGACAATTTTTGAAGTGATGCACAAATTATCTTGGACGAGGAAGAAACTGAAGGCAGAATGTTCAATTAGAAGGCCATGGCATTAGCCTGAGTGTGAGCTGGTAAGGACCAGATTCAGGTGATAATCAGAAATGAAGGACAGTCTAAATTATTTTTTTTTAATGACGCTTCTAGCAAATCACTAAAGGTGAATAACATAATAAAAATTCCAAAGCTAAATTTATCGATAATCTTTGTTGTCAATAAACAAACATTAATGGAATTATTGAAGTGCCGTATAAAAGACAACCACGTGAATTCTTTATCTGCATGATGTTGTTAAGTGCCGTATAAAAGACAACCACGTGAATTCTTTATCTGCATGATGTTGTTAAGAACATTGTGCATAACCCAGGTTAGGTTCACTCATGTTCTCTCCGTAGTTTTCCTAGTAAGACATTCCACTGAGAATCGAGTGCTTGGAAAACTTGGTGTACCTTTGAGGAACCAGAATATTTTCTTCCTTCCCATAATGACAACTATGAAGCTCAGGCAATCTTGTTTGAATGCCAGCAGGCTGGGAATCAGGTTTTCATTTTAACTACTGCAGCTGTGTTGACATTAGGCCTAAATCTCTGTTTCCTCTTTTGTTCTTAACTCTCCTCTTTCTCTCTTTTTATTTATAAACTAGTTGCCGTTGAGTAGAATCTGACTACAGTGACCCCATGAATGTCAGAGTAGAACTGTCCTCCATCGAGTTTTCAATGGCTGATTTTTTGGAAGTATAGCACAAGGCCTTTCTTCCAAGGTCCTCTGGGTGAGCTCAAACCACCAACATTTTGGCAAGCAGCTCAGTGAGTTAATTCTTTGCACTACCCGAGGGACTCCCTCCCTTGTTAGCAGTCTTCACTAATCTTACTGTCTTGATCTCTTCTCTCCCCTCACCCCTCTGTAAGCTTCTCTACATGATTTTTTTCAAAGAGGTAAAGGATAAGAACATTTGATATGTGCTGATAGTTCTCTCTACTATGTCTCCAGGCTCAGTTTCTTTCCTTGAGGTTTTGCATAGTATTTCCAGGTCCTCTGTGCCTGCTTCTAAACAGGTGGCTCCACTTAGCACCTCTCTTATGTCCAACCTCCAAACTGCACACAAATGTGGTCCCTGAACCAGCAGCATAAGCATTACCTGGGTACTGGTCAGAAATGCAAATTTTCATGCTCCACACCAGACCTACTGAATCAGAAACGCTGGAGGATGAGGCTCAGCAATCTGTGGTTTAACAAGCTCTCCAGGTGATTCTGATACATGCTGAAAGTTGACAAGCACTGCTCTAGGAATTGCTGTACTTTTCTTGCTCTCCAGGGCTTATGTGTTCTTGAGCTCATAGTGTCTCTGCTCTGTTATCCTGGAAAATCCTCTCTGTATTTTTCACATTAAATATGAATTCTTAAAGGTGCTTATCTGATTGATGTAGCTAATTATTATCTCCCAACAGTTGGTATGGTTATGGGCACCAGGGTCAGATGACTGAGTAAGTGAGGTAAGTATGAGCTTACTTACTAATCTATAGTGACTAATTTCACATAGGTTTCACCACATATCACTACAGATTAGTAAGTAAGCACAGGTTAACCAATGCTTACCTTATTTACTGGGTCATCCTCCCGTTAGGGATAGTAAATTTGAAAAAAGAGGCTTTGATTCTGTAGAAAGGTGCTGTGGTGCTGGGAGAGAGACAGATGCCAGCCATACCTAGAAGCAGAGTCTTTGATGTGGTGAGAAAATGTGAAATTGTTCACTACAGATGGTCTGGTAAGCAAGGTGAGCACTATGCTTACCTTCCTTATTGGATAATCCATCTCCGATGGGCACACTACCTCATGGTCACTGGCTGGTCCATCCTTAAACCACTCTAGGATTACATGCAGGGACAGATTACCCGTTAAGCAAGGTATACACGAGTTTACTTGTGCTTATTTACTAGTTTGTAGTGACCAATTTCACATGTGTTTCACATGTCACTACAGATTAGTAAGCAAACACAATTAAACCCATGCCTACCTTGCTTACTGGTTAATTCAACCCTGATTACATGACAACACCAGCTGCAATCAGTAGCTACCCCTACTTAAAAACAGACTAGCACTGTTCACCTGAGCAGGGGTGTGGCAGATAAATCTGAAAAAGGCTTACTCCTGTCCAATACATTAATCTTAATTAACTGGTTGTGTACTAATCAGGATTTTCTTCATCTGGTAGCTTGGATTTCAGAGTCCTTTTTGGAAAGATGAGAGGCAACAGCTACCACTTGACACCACTGGAAACAGCCCAGAGGCAAGGTAGTCTTCCTGTTCTAATTTTTCAAGGTGGTTCAAATTAGAATTGAGATTAAAGATTTTACTATAAATGTGCAAGGACCTGGTTCATAAATTATACAGCTGCCATAAAATCTATGTCCTTAAAAGAAATGTATTGCTAGATTTCTGCATTAGTGTGTAAAGATAACATCCTTTTTTTTTTCTTTTGATTAAGAAGTACTTTATAAATTTAAATATAGTGACAGCTTCAAAAAACGGCTTAAAGCCTTCAAATTGCTTTGTTAGAGGCAGGAAGTAGCAGGGAAAGAACAAGTTTCAGTGGTTAATCTCTTACTAAATTGAAGTAGAAAATAGACGGTGGGCAGATTCTTGCAGTTGTGGATGGTACTCTTGAAAGATTTCATGGTACTTAAGAAAGATTTATTTTATCATAATATGAAAGATGTTGGTAATCAATTTACGCAGCTAATAACTGGGCCAAAGGCAGCCTTGTTCTATAGCTGATTAAAAACAATACCAAATATTTATTAGGTATCAATGCTGAACTCATTTCCTGCAGGAGCATTTTATCTATCTGTACTTCTCTATCTACGCTTCTTGGAAATCTCATCGCTCATGACTTTATTTAACAACTATGTAGGTCAGGGTTCCTCAGTCTTGAGTAATGTAGGGATGGACTGCTGCAACAATTCCTTACATTCCCTCGGTACAGAATGAAAGGTTTTTTTTAAATTAATATTATTATTATTTTACTTAAATATGTACAAATCTAAAAACAGACACCTACTGCTTAACCTTATGACTCTTCCACAACTATAAAAAAACAAATTTACAGATTAAATACAGAAAATCTATATAACCAATGGAGTTTGAATGAGTTTAGAGGCATGGTTGACATTCTATTGAAACAAAAACCACCACTCAAAACTTCAGCATGGTTCTGACTGCCCAGGTGCAGGCCCCTTCGCGTTCAATAGGCTTTTTTTGCTGTGAGCTCTCACCACTTCTCTATTCAAACTACTGTGAAACTATTCTTTATTCACTTCCTGCGGGAGGTTTTTTTTTGTATGTGATTCGGACGAACACATCATTTATGTATTAAGTTGCCTTGTGAGACTTTCTCATTAGTTGGCAACAAAATAGTACTAGGGATCTTCAACCTGATTCTAAATATAAATGCAAAGTTTGATGACAAAAACTTGGGCAATACTTGATATACTATGGCCACCCAGATGGTCCCAAATATTCTGGTACTTTAAAAAAAATTATTGTGGTGAAATACATATCACAAAACAATTGCCAGTTCAATCATTTTTACATTTATGTTACTTTTTAAAGATTGTCATAGATATGAAAACATGTAAGTTAAAAGTTCTCATTAAGAATCTGTGGTAGAAATAGATGTGCCTCCCATATCTCCTATAAGGAAGAATGTGTTGCCCCAACTATAGCCCTTCAGCTCTCAGTTCCTTTAGGGTTTGCTCAGCTGCAAAGAGCTATCTGGCTCAAGAGCTTACCTTCTGGGCACCCACATACAATGTCTGATAGAACTATTTCAGGGACAACCCTGATGGGCTGTTTATGCTCCAGAGGTCCCTGTGGGGTTGGCAGAGACTCTGTCAGCATGCATGGCAGTTACACTTCTCCCCCTACCCAGTCCCACCTTCCCACTCTCTCCCATTATTTATGTCCCTAATAAATACCCCGCATGCCAAACTCCACCTTAGTGTCTGCCTCCTGAGAACCCAGCCAGTGAGAGCTCTTAAGTCTCTCTCTGGGGATCCCCTAGAGGAGTGAGAATGCCTCTTCTGCAGCCCTGATTCTTCATCCAAGCTGCTAGTCCGAAATTTTAGTTGTATGTTCGCACCAGCACTTTAAATTCCACAGGTCCAGACCAGATGCATGGCTGATCTCTTAGGCTTGTGCCTCAGAACAACTTGTGTATGTGTGTGTGTGTTTCGTCTGTTTTATTTAATGGCCCCTCTGTGTTACTACCACAGGATCAAAACTTTGGGGGTAATTTTGCCTCCTCACACACCTTGCTCTGCACATCCAGTCTATTATTCATGCTTCAACATGTGGAGGACTTTGCTCTTTCTCAGGGGATTCAGTTTCCTCTAAGCAAGGGATACTAGTAAAATTATAATTGAAACTTATCTTTGCTCTTGGGGCATCTACTCATTATCATATTTTGGTTTTCCATTCTTTTTGATTCCATAGACTTTAAAAAAGATTTTTTTTTCTTCCTGAAGGACATGTATATAAAATTCCAATCCACAAATTGACTATTTATTTTGGAGGCAACGTGTTGACTCACATACTAAATAAAAGAGTAACGCTTTGGGGGGATGGCAGCAAATGCCAAAAGCTTCACTTTTTCTTCTGCAATGAACATTAGTCCAGTCATTAAAACAAAACATTTATTTTATTTGTTTATTTAATATTATTTATTTATTGAAGATAAAATACATTCAATTTAATCTATTATATGAAGAAAATCAAGTCTTGGTAATTGCCATCATGATAATTTTATAATGTAAATACAGACGAGAATGTGTATGAATGTAATGATGTGTTTTAGAAGTCTAGGAAAACGTGTATTGTTCAAAGCAGTCAGCTCATTGAAAGATACTGATGTTTAAAACTGAAAGTTGTGTTGTCAGTTGAAAATGAGAAACTGAGACATTTGTGAGGGAGAAATTGTTAGCAAAGCAGTAGAACATTTCCTGTCCGTGGGTGCAGTCTTGAGGATGTGTGACAGCCATGACGAATCCAACAACCATCACCACGGCACCAATGAGAAGCATGATACAGGACATAATCTTATCTGAGTGTGTCCTTGGCTCTTCAGACAGTTTTAGATAACATGCTGATGGGATGATGAAAATCAGAGGAGCTGCACAGAGCACACCCTGTGTGTTGAAAACAAGAAACAAGTTAATTTTACCAGACAGAAACATTCTTCAGACAGGTTTTAAAAACGTATTTGCTATTTATTGCATGTATGAAATGTTTAATAGGTTCTGCTGAATCAAACAAAGAAAAATAATTCCAAGAAAGACTTAGGAACAGGTTTTTCCTTTTCTGATGGTGTATTTACAAACAAATAAACAAAAAAAGGAAAACAGTATAACAATGTATCAGGCTTAAGAAAAGATGGTCAGAAAATAATACAGAAAATTAACAAGATGGTAAGGTCAACCACTGGCAGACTCTTGAAATTTCCCATATTTTCATTTACATCATATTTCCTTATACTCTTTACTTCAAATTATAGTGTGTGTACTATGTTGTTCAAATCTTAGCTATCATTTGCATATAAGAGGGGACTTTATTTATTTATTTTTTTATATTTTATTGTACTTCAGGTGAAGGCTTACAGAACAAATAGTTTCTCATGAAACAGTAGTACACATGTTGTTTTATGACATTGGTTAACAACCCCACAACATTTTAACCCTCTAAATTCTCATCCTTTTTTTTTTTTGGTGAAAATACACATAGCCAAAGATACACCGTTTCAAAAATTTCTACATACACAGTTCAGTGACATTGACTACGCTCTTCCAATTGTGCTGTTATACTCACTTAAGATGAAGGCTTACAGAACAAAATAGTTTCTCATTTTACAGTTACTACAAATGTTGCCCTATGACAATGGTTAACAATCTCACAACACATCAACAATATCCTTACTCAACCTTGTGTTCCCTATCATCAGCTTCCTTCTCCCCTTCTGCCTTCTGGCCCTTGTCACTGGACTCCTGTACCTCGTTAGTCTCATTTGGTTTTACCGGGCTGTCCACTCCCAGGCTGAACAGTGAACCTCGGAGGTAACTTCACCACTGAGCTAAAAGGGTGTCTGGGGGCCATACTCTCGAGGTTTCTCCAGTCTCCTTTAGGCCAGTAAATCTGGTCTTTTTTTTTTTTTTGTGAGTTAGAATTATGCTCTACATCCTTCTCCAGCTCTGGCCAGAACCCTCTGTTGTGATCGTGGTCAGAGCAGTCAGTGGTGGTAGCCGGGCACCATCTAGCTGTACTGGACTTAGTCTGGTGGAGGCCTTGGTAGCTGTGGACAATTAGTCCTTCGGACTAATCTTTTCCTTGTATCCTGTTCTCTTCATTCTCCCTTGCTCCCGAAGGGATGAGACCAGTGGAGTATCTTAGATGGCTGCTCACAGGCTTTTAAGACCCCAGACACTACTCATCAAAGTAGAATGTAGAGCATTATCTTTATAAGTAGTGTCATGCCAATTGAGCTAGATGTTCCCCGAGACCATGGTCCTAAGAGGGGACTTTTAACATATGGGGTATATTGTCTTCCCTCTTTACTTGAGCTTGGATGAAAGTAGATACCTGTTTGAAAGAGAGAGGAAAACTATAGCCCTAAAGGTATTCAACATGAAATAGCATTTCTAAATCTTCTTTCAAGTAAAACTAAACACATTACCCCACACAATTGATGGCAGAGCTAAATGACTGTGACTCATTCATCCTCCCCCAAAATTAGCTTATAGATAAGTCCAACGTAAGGGGGAATGTCAGATTGAAAATAATGGTCAGTAGTGCTGTCTCTGGGGATCCTTGGTGGCACAGTGGTTAAGCCCTTGGCTGTTTGCTGAAAGGTCAGCCGAACCCACCAGCTGCTCCACGGAAGAAAGATGTGGCAGTCTGCTTCTGTAAAGATTACAGCTTTGGAAACCCTATGGGGTAGCTCTATTCTGTCCTATAGGGTTGCTATGAGTTGGAATTGACTTGACAGCAACAGGTTATTACGAAATCATACTAGCCAGGTAGCATCTAAAAATCTGGGGAAGGATAGGAGGGTCCACACTGCATGGAAAATATTTCTACAGAGACACAGGAATGACAAAATACTAATAGAGTCCAAAATTGAATTCTAAATTCAAATATAGAGAAAATATGCCTTCATCATTCATAACACCTGAAAGCAAATGAGTACCTACAAAGGTACACAGTGAATAAAAGATTAGTTTTCATATGAACTAGAATTAAAGGAATTATGGACTTCATAGCCTCTATCATGGAACTTGAAACTAACATTGCTTTTTAAGTTATGGAAAGTACTGTAGAACTCAATCCCTGTGTATATTAAGAATCATTACCCACTGATTTCTTTGAATTAAGAATTTTTGGTAATATCAAAAAAGTAATCCAAATCCAAACAGATATATGATCTTTTTCTTTATAGGAACAAACGTATGTGAGGCTAATCCATCTGAACTGCAGAAGTGTGAAAGTACTATCAGGATGAGATCTACCACTAGCTGCTAATAAAACCTCTCATCAAGTCAGCATTCTGAGACTCTTTCAAATCCAACTCACTAGGCACTTCAAGGCAATGGGTGTTCTGTTTATGTTGTGATTCTTAAGAGTTGAGAAAGTAGCAGTTAGAGGGAAAACTATATAGCTGATGTTTGTACTGGAAGAAGCCCAGTTGTGTATCTTGTCTGGATACCAGTTTCTTTCTTGATATCTGAAGCTCAGTCTTACTAGGGGTTGTTTGCTGGGACCTGAGCTCATCACTAAAATGATAATAAGGTTTCACCTGACCTAGTCCCTACAAGCTTTGCAGTGAAGCAAGTCCACTTTATCTGATCTACTTAATGTAGCCTTGCTTAAGGATGCACCACTGGCTTAGAAAAAAAATAGAAATTGCTTGACAGGATGTAAACACCATTACTGCTTATTAAAAAGACAATAAAATGTAACCTTATTTATAAACGCAGGACAGCACTATTCATTGATGGTAACACTATTGATGCCATGGCTTGGAGTTAACTTTCCCTAAAGAATTTGGTCTTTGTCTTTAATCCCCGAGAGATAACCTCTAAAACCTTGGAATTGCTCTGGTGATTGAAGATTGAAGTGTATGTGATGAGTCTTCCAGACTACACCAGATGGTTTATGCTAATGAGTTACCTCTTGAGCGGGGGAGGGAAGGAGGCCGGAAAGACTACCTCATGATATCATCCAACTTCAGGGGGTGGGGAAATGAGGGCATGATTCAATCAATAATGCCTACATAATGAGACCCCAATAAAGGCTCTGGACACGGAAGCTCCATGGGCTTCCTGGTAGGTAAAAAGATATGGGTACTTGAGAGGGTGACATGTCCTTTTTGGGGCATGGAAGCTCCATGTTGGGGACCCTTCCAGACCTCATGCTATGCATCTCTTCTTTACACTGACCCCGGGGGGTCTCCTTTTGGCTGCAGTAAAACTAATCGGAAGTGTAGTGCCTTCCATGAGTTTTGTGAGTTGTTCTAGTGAATTACTGAAATAAGAGAGTAGTGGGAGTCAGCAGGTCAGAATGAGGGGGCTGGGGACCCCTAAGCTTATGGCTGGTATCCTGAAGTGTAGAGGAAATTTCCAAATCTGTAGCTAGCAGGTCAGTAATGAAGGAGTTGTGTGGACTCCCAAGCTTGCGGCTGGCATCTGAGATGTTGGGCAAACTTGGCAGTCTGGAGGACTGAATCCTTTAACTTGTGAGATGTAATCTAGCTCCGAGTGATTAGGATCAGAAGAAGTGCTGCATGTGCAGCTGGTGTTAGGACAGAAGTGGAAGAGAAGTGGGAATTTCATTTTTCTACTCACAGGGCATTTTGCAGTTTGCCGTAGGGAAAGAACAGAGGTGTTGAAGATTTATACTAGCAGTGCAGACTGGAAAAGTGTCTGAATTCTCCTATCTGGATAGAAACCTCTCAAATGATGCTAGGAATGTGAAAAATAAACAAAAGAATGCTTGCACATCTCCTAAATTTATACTTTGTAATCAATTCATACTCACAAAATTTATTCTTAATACCTTAAAAAGAAACTCTCTCTAGCTCAAGAGGTCTTTGGTAACTTGGACCATGGCTTTGCTGACCTCAGTGATTTGTATTTCTGTATCAGGCTCTCGCTGGGTAATTGGCTTTCTTCCTCCTACTGTAAGCTGCACACAGCGCTTGTGGGCCAGTTACTCTGGCCACAGGCACCAGCTGCTTTATCTCTTTTCTCCGTACTGCTCCAAGTAGAAATCCATAGGGCCCAATTACTGTAGATGCCAATTCTGTCTAACGGCGACACCAGTGCCAAGGTGCTGGGTTCTTACTACTAAGGATTGGATTTATATTTATTTTATTTACCTCTATCTAAAATGAATCTTTTTAAACTGAGGATGTGTTTGCTTTGGAAAAACGTATCATGAAAACAAAGAAATAAAAGGGAAATAAAGGTCTAAATGCTGTTTTGCTTTTCATTGAAAAGCTAATATAACCCGAGATAGTTTATCTTTTATTACTTTCGTTATGCTATATAACAACTTTTGCCTAACTTTGCAAATTCTATTATACATCTCATCTGTGAAGATCACTGTTCTACTTAATGATAATTCAGGACCACAATAAAAAGAGAATTCCTAAAGTACTACAATTATTAACTAAGGTGAAAGCTATTACAAATTATTAACTAAGATGAAAAACTTTTAGTTCCGTTTTATTTCATCTCTTGGTATTTACTTTAACCTAATATTAAAACCTATCCATTAGTAGTCTAAGGAATCCTTAATAGTCTAAGGATTACTCAATGCATAGATTTTTAGCTTAAAAAATTGATAGAGAAATTAACACAATTGTTTTACATAATTTAAAGTCTTAGACCTAGGAATTCTCAGACTAGCATAGTGATTAAAAATGTGGTCTACAACATGTGAATACCTGTGTTCAAATCTTAACTCTGGCACTTATAAGTTGTGTGACCTCAAGCTACTTACTTAGTCACTCTGTGTTTCTTCATCTGTAAAGTTAATATGGATTAAGGGAGAGAACACATGCAAATCATTTGGCACAGAGTAAGTACTCAATACACGTTAGCTCTCATTATTATTATGAAATGGGGCACAGCATGCTTTAGTTACTTCTAATGTGTTGCATGACCCCAGCATGCATCAGATACTGACAGAAATGATGCTTGACCTGGCTTGATTAGACATAGTAAATGCCCACACAAAAGGGAGTTGCATAAAGACCTGAATATGTTATGGTACCTTCCAGGAGGTTTTTGTTGATGGGAAAAACTGGTGGTCTGACAGAGAATAGATGCATGTTATGTATGTCTATCTATCCAGATTTGATAAAAATCTAAGGATCTAGAATCATGTTTTACATTTTTACAGTCCTTCACAGTTAGTTCAGATACTGGCTTTATAAAAAATACAAAGTCTCCTCAGAAAACTAGAAATAGACATACCATTCGATCCAGCAATCCCACTCCTAGGAATATATCCTAGAGAAATAAGAGTCGTCACTCGAATAG